CTGTCAATTGCTGCTCCCTGTTTATGCATAGGAAACAAAATGTGAAATCTCTTGGATAACATAAATAGTTAATAATATTACCAGAATACTTGCCTTGGTAACACTAACTGCTCGGACTCAACAGATCGCCCACCTTGGACCATATCTACAGAAGCATTTGATATTGGGCCTGCAATAGATGCTGCAACATATCCTTCGCTTGAAGCCTCCCAAAATCTATGTCTATGGATATAAACATAGAACATTAATAAAAAATAAAATCTGAGAATGAAAATTTGAATAGAGAAACTCTTTAAGATGGAGAACAGGAAACATATAAACACAAATCACCTGCGTACTTATAGTTTGCACACTAGCGAGGTCTCATGGAGCTCAAAATGAGAACAGGGTGTTCTCTCAGTAAAATATTCAAACACATCTGAAACAATCGGCGATAGAGATTAGAATTTCATAAATAAAGGCAATTCAAAACGAATACTAGTTATCCAATAGTCCAATAAGCACCTTAACACTGTCAACCCAATCCATATTTAGACTTTCTGGCATTGTTGTCATCCAACCTTCCTTTGTAAACCGCAAAAACATCCCGTGTTCTGCTGCCAGCCACATCTTATATTCTCCAAAATTCTGGAGAATATTTAAAAGTCAATAGTAGAATATGTTAATAAGAAGTGAGTCATATGTGAAAACAGAAAACCTCATCAAGAACACTGCGGTCACTTCCACTAAGGACAATTATTGTGGTTTTTGGGTCATCACAAAGCTTTTTCAAGGTTTCTTTCAAATCTGGGTGCAACTTAAGCTCCATTTCTTTGAATTGATCAATCCTTCTCCCTTGGGAGTCTACCGGTTCTGTTAATGTTCCATTGAATCCCTGTGATTAAGTAATACAACTATAAGTAGAAAATGGGTTTAAGTTCACCATGTTGCTTTGAGAAAAAAATTGGAATTATGCTATTTAAATTTGGACGATCTTATGCACAAAAACAAATTTCTTGTGTCCTGAATCTGTTCCAATTC